TCTTGTAACACCCGTCACAAGTTTTGCTTGCAAAAAAAAAGATGTAAAAAACAATATATCCACAAATCTCTTACAATTATCAGAAATGAAGATCATTTATCTCTCTACTTAGCTATTCGTTTTGTTGCAAAAAACTTCTAATTTAGCTGAACTCTGATGTTTAGCCAACAAGGTAGCATATTTTGCAAAAAGTACAAGTAACACCCGTCACAGGGCTTAAACCTATTATTGCATTTAAGCGCCTGAGTAATTCCTAATACGTTTTTGTTTTAATTAAAATACCATTGAAATGAAGTGAATTATACTCAAAACGCAGACAATTTTGTTCTAATTTAGCAATTATAACAGTTAGAATGCGTACAACTGTAACACCCGTCACCGCGGAATGGCCCTTATCGAAACTAGTAGTTTTTATATGTTTTAATTGTTTGAAGTCATTTGAGGCCTATTAGTGCAAGAAAAAAATCAGGACATTATAAAATTATGATTTTAAGCCGTTTTAAGTCGCTCCACGGCCAAAAAAATTGACTTTTCGCACTTTTGGGCATGACCCACCACTCAAAAAAATCTGAAAAAAATTTGAGGTAGTAAAAACAGTTAAAAATATAACATATTAAAAATCTGAGCCTGAAGCTTTTTTTTGGTTAAAAGATATGGGATTTTTAAAGTTTGAATACTTTTTTTTAGAGGTCATAATGACCTTAAATGAGCTTGAAATTTTTCATAAAATTAAAACTGTACTCATGAATTTTTTCAGATTTTTTCGACAGTTAAAAACCGAGAAAAAAAAAAACGTAAAAAACAGGGTTTTTACCATACCTAGCTGAGAGGAAAATTTTTTGGACCTAAAATTCGGTCTACCTTTCATAATTAGCACTAAGAAATACTTTCATCATGCGAAGAAAATAAAAAAAAGGGGGCATTTCACCATACTTATGGGGGGATACCCTTTTGGTCATAGAAACCAAAAACTGTTACAGATATAATTAATATAAATGAAGAGCAGGTTACCAATCAATGAAACATAGAACCGGGCTACAGTAATACCATCTACCATTTGCATCCTCTTAGAAAAATTCATAACATCGTTTACAATTTCTAAAGATAAGTGTATCGCTATATAAAATCACCCTGTTAAATTGTTATTTGCTAACATTATTTAAGTGTATTTTAATTAATTGACCATTACTAGTCTATATTTTATTACGAGAAAATCCAGCACACCTCTGAATTTATTGTCTTCTGATTAACACTGTTTTACACTACTGTTCTAGGTACTTCTCACAGGCAGAACAGACTAGCACTGTCACAGTTAGGAGGACAAAGGGTATATCCTAAAATCGGTCAAAAGGAGATAAATATATCTTTTAGATTTGTTATTTGAGTACTAATTGTAATTGTACATAAGTAAGCGTATTAAGATGGATCACATGTCATATTTCACAAGGTGTGACTTTTATGGGTATTATTGTGTGTAAACTTGTTCTATCACATTTAAATACTTGAAATCACAAGGTTTTGGTTATTTTAAACTCTATTTTATAACCCTGAGTTTGACAATCTAACATAATCATTATTATTCATAAACATATTACGGTTGTACAATTGTTGGTAATTAATATGTACCTATGGTAAGTTGGGTATTAAGTATAAACGTATTAGGCTGGATCATAGGTCATATTTTTATGGGTCTGACTTTTATGGGTATTATTGTGTGTAAACACATAATAACACACCAGAAAAAGGTTATTATTATTATTATAAGTTGGTAAATTACTATCTACAGAGGTTTATACACGCTGCAAAGAGACTCTTAGTGTAAATTTTCAACCATATGTAGCAGATACAATGTATATAGAGTTGTATTAATAGAAATTTAAACGTACACTAATCTGTTCAGGAATCTCCCAAATACGAGCCTATTATCCTATATATTACACTTCAAACACAAACAATCAAATATGATAACACCACCACGAACTGTTGCATACGAATGTAGTCAGTCAGATTCGCAAAATCCTTAAATGTACAGAACAGACCAGTTTAACGAGTTGAGAGGTAAAAAACCGCGACAAAGTAGAAAAATTACGCTAAACACACTATTGAAACGGTACCGTATTAGTTCTGATTTTATAACCAAAATACATGTAAAAGTTACTTTTTTGTTGATTGTTACTAGCACTTAAAATAAAATTTGAACATCTAACATTTTTAGTTAGGGATAGGATTTTTCTCCTGAACAATTGCACAGTATATACGTTTAGTCATCGATCGCGAACAGTCGTCGTAAACAAACACGTCGACATTAATAACGTATGTCCTAAAAGTTTTGGCACAAAATTCATGAACTTAAATCTTAACAATAATGAAATAATATCAAGTCGCCTTTGGTAACAAAAGATTGTTTACTTTGTTGACTGTCAGTCGAGGGTTATTTATTTTGAAGTTTATGTTTTCAAATGCCATATAAATTAGAAATGAGAAAAAGAATCTATAACTTAGTTGGGCGGGTACCCAAAGCTGAAATATTTCGAATATTCGAGAATGAAAATATTTCTCGCAGAACCATTTATCGAACAATAGCGGAGTGCGAGCAGGGAATACATTGTTTGAACCTTCCAAAAAGTGGAAGACCACGAGTATTTACTGCACAGAGGAAGAGCGGTTGGTAAGAAGAGCAAGAAACCAATTTGGGATGTCATCAAGGAGACTGGCTCGTCAATATGACACTTATAAGAGTACGGTACCGTTGACATTGAAGAGGAATGGTCTGAAATATCGAAAAAGACGTAAGTGCCCCAAATACACTCAAGGGCAGCTTCTACGTATACCAAGATGCTGCCGTCAACTGAGACAGGTATACTTTGCCGATAGCAAGAGCATTATTTTAGACGACGAAAAGTATTTCACTTTGGCTAACTCCGAAATGAAAGGAAATGATGGGTTTTATACAAATAAACTAGAGGAATGCCCCGACAATGTAAAGTTTAAGACTAAAGCAAAATTTGCCGATAAAATCCTTGTCTGGTGCGCAATTTATAACAGGGGCATATCCCGACCTTTTGTGGGAAGAGTGAGAGGCGAAGCTTTGAACAGTCAGGGCTGAATTGAGAACTGTCTTTCCAAATTGCTCCAGTTTGTCCAAGAACATAATGCTGAGGATGATATCATGTTTTGGCCAGACTTAGCATCGTGTCATTACTCTAGAGATACCCAAAACTGGCTTCGTCAACACCACATACCTTTTGTTCCTAAAAACGCTAATCCTCCTAACTTGCCTCAAGCTCGCCCAATAGAGGATTTTTGGGCTTTATTGTCGCGGAAAGTTTATGACAGAGGCTGGGAAGCCCAAAACGAACAGCAACTAAGACGTCGAATTTTTGAAAAATTGAGAGAAATTGACTTGAATTCCGTCCAGGGGCTCATGAGAGACATCCGAAGAAAGTTGCGTCTGGTAGAGGAGTATGGGCCGCTTCACATAATTTGATAGTATAGTTTAGTTAAGCATTAAGATGTAGTTTATGATAAATAATTGATGTTTCAATAAATCTGTTCATTAAAAAAAAAACTGCTATACATATTTTGTGCCAGAACTTTTAGGACATACGTTATATAGCTATTTGTCATGAATACGTTTTAATTTATCCCTATTATATTCTAACAGTTTAGTGCTTTTATTACTGTTTTGTGTGAATTAGTTTCTCTTAAAATGTTTGTCTTAGTAATGTTAATTATTACTGTGTTCGACTCTCTTGTGGCCCAACCTCCTCCTGCAGAGTATTGTTTTACTCGTCTCGAAACTTGTTCAAGCGAGAAGACACTCCACGTCTTAGTTTTAAAGTCGCAACGTTTACCTACGAAATTTTGAAAAACAGTCCTGGAACCTTCAAGACCTTAATTTAAATTGTTCGCGAGAGTTGGTGATAAAAAGTGGTTAAACATATCGTGAAAAGCAGGACCACAAGGAGGCAATGCTTATTATTGCTACCCTACAGAGCATATCCCAATGAATTGAAAATACAGTATAAAAATGTGACAGAAAGGTTGGTAAAGGCGGAGGCCTACATCCAGCATATAAAATAGGATATTTGAGAATTCAGAATAGCTGTGGAATAATTGGGAGAAAACTGTTTTCAAAATGGAAAAGAGGCTTGAAAATAAAATGAAAACTTTGTTGAAGCAAAGAGTGTCGAAAAAGAAATTTATAAACCGCTTTAAGCTAAAGAAAAAACGTCTCGTGAAATGTGAAAATTCTTTAAAAATGCCTAGTGCGTGTTTATCACAGACCCTTAAAAGTGTTATCACAGAACATCACGAGTGGGGCTCATAACAAAAACTATAGACAGTTCATGTTAAATTAAAAACATGTTTAAATTATTAGTTGGAACTGTAATACTTTACTAAATAGTATTTGTTTCTTTAAAATAGAGAACTAATTGTTATTATGGGTAACTACAGTACTAGTTGTTATTTTGTGTGTCGTAGTTTATACTTTTATTATCGCTGTAAGGTTAATGAGAATTAACTCAGCGACATTTGCTTCTGTGAGCATTCGTCTGTACTGTACAATTGTTCAGGAGAAAAATAGCCAGCACTAATTAAGAGTGTTAGATGTTCAAATTTTGTTTTAAGTGCTAGTAGCAATCGACAGAGAACAGATAAGTAACTTTCACATGTATTTTGGTTATAAAATCAGAATTAATACGGCACCATTTCAATAATGTGTTTGTTATTCTTCTACTTTGTCGTGGTTCTTTACCTCTCAACTCGTTAAACTAGTCTGTTCTGCGCATTTAAGGGCTTTGCGAATCTGACTGACTAGTAGTAAATGTATGTTTAAATACAACAGTATCTGCTACATATGGTTGAAAATTAACACTAAGAGTCTGTTTGGAGCGTTTACAAACCTCTGTACATAGTGATTTACCAACTTTTAATAATAATAATATAATAATAACCTTTTTTTCTGATGTGCTATTTTCTGTTTACACACAATATTGGCCGCGGCGATAGCTGAGTGGGCAAAGCGCTAGATGAGTAGATGGCGATTACTCCGAGAGCTATTTTATCCGCGCGGGTTCGAATCCCGCCTGTGGCAATTGGCACCTGTCACAGGGTTTGGTTGTATGTTCTACGTCTTTTCCATGTATATTCTCCCTCTGCACAGTTGTAATGACTCTTAGAGGGAGAATGTCAATTTGTGTGGTGTGATTTATTATTATTTCGCCGCCTTTATAGTCACACTTCTCAGCGTAAACGCTGATTCACCCATTCTTGCCGCCTCCAGCAGGAATTAGGCTCAGGCGAGGGGAGAAAATTCATCCTGTCCCAAAACCTTTCTAACAATGTGACAAGTTTGTAGTACAACTGCCTTCTGGCCATTTCTAATAATATTATAAGACAGTCCTAATGCCGCGATGTTCTTGGCGAATCTGGTCGTCCTCACGCCCTCCGCCGATATTACTAGGGCGTACGTCTCCTCCTTCTCCAGTTTCCATAGGCGCTTCAGCTCGATTGATAGATTTTCGTATTTCGCGATCTTCTCCCGTTCAGTCTTCTGAATGTTGTGAGTAAGTGGCACTACGATGTATATGATGATTCCTCTTCGTTGTTCCTTGTTGATCAGCACAATATCTGGTCGGTTGAAGTCCACTGTTCAGTCGGTGATGATTAGCCTATCCCAGTACATCACTGCTGTTTCCGATTCCAGCACAGCTTCCGGGTCATATTTGTAGTATGGCGGAGCCGTCGCTTACAGGCCATACTTGAGCGCCAGTTCTTCGCAAGTTGGTTGTGCCTGCCAAGATATGCTGACTCTGCTAACGCTGGACACCCCCTATTATGTGTTCTTCTATTTTCGCATGCAGATCCACATTTTCTACATAGGTTTTCGATGTTGTCTCTCAGGATATGCTTCTGGTAGTTTCTTGTTTTTATAACCCTGCCCTGAATGGCAGTCAAGAAGCCTTCGGTTTCGGGGTACAGATAGCCGTCGGTAAGCCATTTTAATTAATTATTGTCTTTGTCGATGTTCATTATAATTGTTATTATTATTATTATTATTATTAGTTTATTATTATTATTATATATAAAAAAGAAATCGCCGACTTTATAGTCACACTTCTCAGCGTAAACGCTGGGAAACATTCACCTATTCCTACTGCAGACAGTGATGGCTTGATATCTCATCCCCGCCTCCAGCAGAAATTAGGCTCAGGCGAGAGGAGGAAATTCATCCTGTCCCAAAACCTTTCTTACAATATGACTTGTTTGTAGTACAACTGCCTTCTGGCCATTTCGAATAATATTATAAGACAGTCCTAATGCCGCGATGTTCTTGGCGAATCTGGTCCTCATCACGCCCTCTGCCGATATTACTAGGGCGTACGTCTCCACCTTCTCCAGTTTCCATAGGCGCTTCAGCTCGATTGATAGGTTTTCGTATTTCGCGATCTTCTCCCGTTCAGTCTTATTATTATTATTTCGCCGACTTTATAGTCACACTTCTCAGCGTAAACGCTGGGAAACATTCACCTATTCCTACTGCAGACAGTGATGGCTTGATATCTCATCCCCGCCTCCAGCAGAAATTAGGCTCAGGCGAGGGGAGGAAATTCATCCTGTCCCAAAACCTTTCTAACAATATGACAAGTTTGTAATACAACTGCCTTCTGGCCATTTCTAATTATATTATAAGACAGTCCTAATGCTGAGATGTTCTTGGCGAATCTGGTCGTCATCACGCCCTCTGCCGATATTACTAGGGCGTACTTCTCCACCTTCTTATTATTATTATTTCGCCGACTTTATAGTCACACTTCTCAGCGTAAACGCTGGGAAACATTCACCCATTCCTGCTGCAGACAGTGATGGCTTGATATCTCATCCCCGCCTCCAGCAGAAATTAGGCTCAGGCGAGGGGAGGAAATTCATCCTATCCCAAAACCTTTCTTACAATGTGGCAAGTTTGTAGCAATATTGCCTTCTGACCATTTCTAATGACATTAAAAGATAGTCCTAATGCCGCGATGTTCTTGGCGAATCTCGTCGTCATTACTCCCTCTGCCGATATTACTAGGGCGTACGTCTCCACTTTCTCCAGTTTCCATAGGCGCTTCAGCCCGATTGACAAATTTTTCGTATTTCGCGATCTCCCGTTCAGTCTTCTGTTAATGTTATTATTATTATTATTATTATTATTGTTATTATTATAATATTACCCATAACAGTCAGACCTTTTAAAATATGACCTGTGATCCATCTTAATACGTTTATACTAATAATTAAATAATCATGTTAAATTGTCAAAGTCAGGTTTATAAAAGAATTTAGAATAACCAAAACTTTATGATTTCAAATATTTAAATGTGATAGAAGTAAATCTATGTTATTTACTATATTTCGTTCTTGCTCGTTACGGATACAAAACTAAAATAAGTGTTTTGAGAAGTCTGCTTTCCAGATTTAAACAACGTTTTTTTTTTCTTATTTCGATATTCATTAGATAAAAAAGTTATATTTAGGTTATTAACTTGGAAAACCATACGAGTATATTTTTACCATAAAACCTCGTTAGTTGTATGTTTGCACAAATATACAGCTTTTAGTTTATATCTGACTGTATCTCATACCGACTATTTTTTGTGTCTGGGTTTATCAAAGTTATGAACTACTTCCTCAATGCATGGAACTAATTATATGTATGGGTGTTAGGACTGATCTAAAAGGTATAGTTCTCTTAAATTAACTAAAATAAACTCAAATAATGTTAGCAAATAACAATTTAACAATTATACTACGAAATCTAGGTAATTTTATATAGCGATACAGTTATCTTCAGAAATTGTAAACAATGTTATATATTTTCTAAGAGAAATGAAAATGGTATTACCGTACTTACCGTAGCCTGGTTTTATGTTTCGTTGATGGGTAACCTCTTCTTCATTTTTAAATGTAGGTAATTATATTTGTAGCAGTTTTTGGCTTATATGACCAAATTTAGTTAGTTCTTTTTGATATGTGAGTAATCGTTTGTATGATTGTATATCGAAATTAAATAAAATAAGCCTGAATAATACTAGTAAACAATAGTAACCAATGTTTTGAAATGGTGATTTTTAAATGGTAGTACATTTGTTATGAAATTTGTAATAGTCTGAAAGTAAGAAGCTGATGTTTCTTTATTCCTAGTTTTGTGTTCCGAATGTATTATATACCTCTAAATGTAATGAATACATTTGTGACAGGTTTTTGTTTTCACGTCCAAAGTTAGTGTATGTTTTGGAAAGTGCATCAGATATTATACCACAGTTATTGTATAAAAAAACTTTGTTGTAGGTGCCATATACCACATTTGAGTATGTTTTATCAAACAACAAGTATTTAAACTCACCATGTACAAGTAAAAACTAAAATGCGGATTATGTATTCACTAGAACTGCATTGATCTGAGAATTTAAAAAATATATTATTCTTACCTTTTTAATCGTTTGTCAAATCGAAACACACAAAGATATACTTGTATACCTACGTCTTCTATTTTCAATGTTATACGTCTTCTCTCATCCGGAAAGAGAAGTTCTGCACAAAATTCAGTTATTGTTAAGTAACTAATACGTATGACGTTATCGTACTGAAACCTTGTGTAGTAGATAACAAAAAATCATACTTTATGTATACAAGTATATTTTAGTTTCTTTCTTAAGTTGTTGCTTAATGTTTTTAATTATTACTAGGACCGGCTTATACGCGTACACGGTATAACAAGAGTTTTTGGCGCGTTAGTATTACAAAAATACTAAAGTAAGGTGTTGCAAAAAAACTTGTATTATACAGGGTGTCCGATAATAGATAGTACAACGTAATAGTAGCAATTTCTTCGCCCAAGAGAATTAAAAAATTCGTCAGAATTCCGGATCTTTTTCTTTAATAATTCTAAAATGCGGACATTGATTTTGATTATTTTTGAGATATGATTTTAGGCCTACAATTGACGTTTTTTAATACCACGGGACGCTTTCGAAAATGCGGAAACACCTGACACTCTTCTACTTATATCTTGTTATTGTATGAATAACGGCTACCATTTTATTTAATTTTTTAATTGAATGGGTGACTTATTTTTGAAACTTTTTGTAATAATCGATTTTTTAATGTTAAACATATCAATTTGTTGTCACAAACAAATATTTGTATTTAAAAAGTTGGGTCATTTAGCATGTGGGCACTCCGGTCCTGACTAAAATTATTTCATTGTTTTGCGTGTGGATGACTACGTATTTCTTTTAAGATACACTTTGTTGAGATTATCTTTACATTTTCTATCTGAATGTTAAAAATTATAAAATAAATTAATGTTTGTTTATATTATTTATGTATTTTTTATTGATTGTTTGTGAGAATTGAGAAATGTTTTTTTTTTAAGAGAAAAGCAATTATTTCTAAAATTAGAACTTGTTTAGACATTATGTATACAACGTGGAACAACCAAATGGAATAAATTCAGTAGTTCCCTGATTATGCATTTTTTTAGAAAAAATCCTGAGACACGCCAATTTCTAATTCTAAAATATACATAGGGAATCATCAAAACTAGCCCTCTATTTTTCAAGAACACATAAAAGTCTCTGCCTACTGGACTGATAGCACACTAAGCACATTTTCCAATTACAAACCTTAATTATTATAAACATATAAATAAGCTAGGCAACTTCAATAAGAACAATGGTGCACTGTTGGTTGCTGGCACTCTAGACTTATTTTGAGTGTTATTATTTAGTGGTAATCATTTTATTTAATTTAACCTTCGAATTAAATCGAATTAATTCAAATTAAAGCCTTTTTCACATAATAAGAAGTTTTTTTTATAGTATGTATACTTACCTACTCGCTTTTACTAAGTACAATGCATTTTACATATTTATTGGTTATCGGGTGAATGTTGCCAATATTCTAGTAATTTATCTCAATATTGTCTTACAGATAAATTACATTTTTTTTAAAGTTCGAATTATTTATTACTACATTTATCTACCAACAAAATGTATGAGTAATTATTAGTAAAAAATAATAGTAATTAACAAAATATTGTTAAGCAAG